ATGGGGATCTGTTACCTAAATTTAAAGGATTTCAAATTGATTATTATAATGGTTTTACTAGATTTGATTGATGTTCTTATGTCTGACATAAGAGATTTGCATTGCAGTATTCTTGCTTTTTCTGGATGGCTATTTTAAAGGGGTTTAAAACTTCAGATATTATGCATAATAGGAATATTAATGTTTCTTTAGGCTGTATTTTCTGTGATTATCCTGTGGAATCTCATAATCGTTTATTATTTTAGTGTGATTTTTCATTTTTTATTCTGTCAAAGTTGTTTCCCTACATTCGACATTTCATTCTTAAGCTTACTCTTTTGCAATGCTTAGATTTTATTTAAAAAGGTTCCAAATTAAGGATGTTAAAAATATATATTTCATGATGGTTTGTTGCTCGGTTTATTTTTTATGGAGAGAAAGGAATATCGGGAAGTTTGCATTTGATTTACAGTCATATTTTTCAGGCTTTGTTTTGGTAAGATTTCTTGTTGAAAATCATTTTTGGAGGTTAAGAGTTTTTTGTCTTAAGTTTGTTGTGTGGTTTTTTTTTCCTTGTTGAAAATCATTCATAGTTGATCTGGTTATTTTTCTCATGCAACCAAGGTCTGGATTTTTTTTTTCTGCTGTCGGTTTTCTATTGGATCAGCAACCAGTTTGGACTTGATGGCCTAATCTTTAAAAAATATGGCTCCTTAATTATAATTTTAGATATTGTGGTTGATCATGCTTGGAGTTCGGATTTGCTGGTGCCTTTGATTTCTAAGCTTTGATGCAACTACGAGGGAAAATTATTCCGTTCGGTGTCCGGATTCGTCCGGACATCAATTCAGACACGTCACGTCACCTAGATACATCCAGGGTCCAGTGTAGGTGACATGGCGTGTCTGGATTGGTGTCCGGACGGTCCTGTCACCGGACGTAATAATTCGCCCTTTATGAGATCGTGAATGTCAACATGGAAGAGCAAGTTGGTAGGTAGCTTTGGCTCGTTTGATGGCTAGCTTGCTGGAGTTTAATTTGTTCTAAGGATTTCAGTTAGTCTGATGACGAGTTTTCAAGTCTGGTCACAAATGAATTCTGTTATAGAATTGGATGTCGGTGTTGTTGATTGGATTTGCTTTGCTGTTCGTGGCTTAGTATATTGTTTGAAGAATGATCGTAAAGGATTTTGGTTTATTTGTTCTATTTGAAGACCAATCTTTCAGTCTTCTTTTGTCTTTGCTTAGGCTAAGCTTTTTCTTGTATTAGGTTAGCTTTATTTTTTTTTAGTTCTTTGTTGACAGGATTTTTAACTTTTTGCTTTATTTTTCTTAACTTTCTTGTAATCTTTTTTCTCTATATTAATGAAAATTGGGCATGATTACTGTTGCGGGCTAGAAAATACGCAGCGATAGATGTTTAATTCTGCGTCTTAGCGTTGAACGGATAACTAGCTCACACACAGAGAACACAAGATTTTTAACGTGGAAAACCCTTGAAAAGGGAAAAACCACGGGGCCTAGCCCAATTGAAAATGATTCCACTAGAACTTTGAGTCGGTTACAAATGGTTGAATCACTTTCAGGGGTGTTCAGATTAAACCTGGTTACTATCAAAAAGGAGTCGGGTGTTAGACCCAGTATCACTTGGAAGATCGGATGTCGATAGTCCGGGCGTGAGCTGAGCGTGGGGTCTGAATATCGGGCCTTGAGTGACGTCGGGTCTTC